GGGCTTTTGCAAGGTGGTGGGGTCAGGGCCCGGGGCTTGGTGGGCAGGTTCTCTGTCTTGGGGACTTGATCCTGCAACATGGGGTTGGTGGGGAGGAGGGTCTGGAGAAGGAGGGTCTGGGGTCAACTGGTCTGTGCCTGGCTTATCTGCAACAGGAAGAAGGATTTCCGGCCAGACACCCCTACCTCCTGCCAAGCGCTGGTCTACGTCACAAGTCACAATTGGCAGGGTGACTGAGCACGGGAGGGTTGACCTGTGAGGGGTTGGAGGCTGCCGGCCTGAGAAATTCCACACCAGGCAGTTGGGGAGGGCTACCCCTGGGAGTGTCAGTCGGAACAGTAACATGGACAGCATAAACAATAACAATAGTAATAATAATAGCTAACATTAAGTGAGGGCCCATCTCGGGCCACCAACTGCGCTATGGGCCCCACTTCAATTTTTTATGAAGTAGGTTCTGTTATGCCCATTTTATGAAGGAGGAAGTTAGGCAAGTTACCTCCCACTTCTCTCTCCAGAGCTCATGCTCTTCCATGTTGTAACGGTTTGGGAAGTTTGAATATGAACCAAATGTGACCTATCATTGTTAGATGTGATAATAGTATTATGATATGAAAGCTGTCTCTATTAGGAAATGAACACAGATATTTAGGGATAAAGTATTATAAATGTAACTTACTTTACATGATTCATACATAGGGCCAACAGGTAGCATGGTAAGGCGCTGGACTCCCACATGGCTGGGCACAGTTGGAGTCCTGAACATGGTGTCTTGAAAAGCATACCAGATGGGGGAACCAGCAGTTAGCGTAATGGCCATGTCGCTGGACTCCCACGTAGTCGACTGCGGTTCGCGTCCCGGACCCGGTGGCTTAAAACTCACGCCAGGCGCGTGTGCGTGCGTGCCCAAGATCCCGAGAGGAGAATGGAGAAGGGATTGCGGCATGACCATCCCCCCTGGGGGGGTGATTTCTCACCTTCTGTCTCTCTCTGTCTGTCTGGCGAGCGCACGTGCCCTGTAGCGAAAAAATCCTCACACACACAAAAAAAGAAAATCAAACCAGACGTGTGTGTGTGAGCGTGTGTGTGTGTCCACATTGGAGGAGAAGGGATTTCTGGGTGGCTATCCCCCGTAGGGGGTGATTTATCACCTTCTCTCTGGTAAGCACATGTGCCCTATGACAAAATAAACCTTAAAATAATTCATACATGTAGTATATATTTACATACATACATGTCACATTTGGGATATACCCATCCTAAAAAGTGATTTTTCCTTTATTTATTAATAGTATTCAACAACTGGGTGTCCTGCATTTTTTTCCCCTGACAATCCTTAATCCAGGTTAACCTGGCTTCTGAGTCTGTGTTTTTGCCTATCTTGGTATAATGATAAATAGTATTTCCCATTTTAACTTTTTGCTATAGGGTGCGTGCAACTTGCTTGAGAGAGAGAGAGAGAGAAAGTGAGAAATCACTCCTCGGGGGGAGATGGTCATGCTGCCATCCCTTTTCCTATTCTTTTTTTTTTTTTGGAGAGATTTTCACTATAGGGCGCGTGCGCTCGCCAGACAGACAGAGAGAGACATAGAGACAGAAAGCGAGAAATCACCCCCCAGGGGGGATGGTCACGCCGCAATCCCTTCTCCTCCATTCTCCTCTCGGGATCTTGGGCACGCACGCACACGCGCCCAGCGTGAGTTTTAAGCCACCGGGTCCGGGACACGAACCGCGGTGGACTACGTGGGAGTCCAGCGACATAGCCATTACGCTAACTGCTGGTTCCCCCCTTGGTTCCCCCCTTTTCCTATTCTTACCAACGCATATGAGCTAGGCCTTTTTTTTTTTTTTGGAGAGGTTTTTGCTATAGGGCACATGCGCTCGCCAGGAAGACAGAGATAGAGAGACAGAAAGCGAAAAATCATCCCCTGGGGGGATGGCCATGCTGCAATCCCTTCTCCTCCATTTTCCTCTCAAGATCTTGGGCACACATGCACATGCGCCCGGCGTGAGTTCTAAGCCACTGGGTCCGGGACTCGAACCATGGTCGACTACGTGGGAGTTAGCGACATAGCCATTACGCTAACTGCTGGCCCCAGAGCTTGGCATGTTTTTGAAGCTACTGGGTCCCACACTCAAACCAAGAAGTCGACCATGTGGGATCCAGCTGCCTTCACCACCATGCCACCAGCTGGCCCTATTTTCCGTTCTGATATGGACATTTTCCAATATTGACCAGCTTCTTGATCATTACCAACTTGCCATTCTGGAGGGTGGGAGGAGTGAAGGGGCACTGGTTTTCTGTCCATGTCACACAAAGGAGACTGGAACTTAAGGAGTCACTGAGACCAGGTGGTGGCACAGTGGTAATGCAACCAGTCCCACCAGAAAAATTATGAGTTCGTGTACTGGTACCTCCTTGGGTCGTCTTTTCTGGGCTAGTTTGACTGAGGATGGATCATGGCACCTGTCTGTCTCTCTCTCATGGAAGAAATAATTTCTTTTGAGAGGTTTTTGCTATAGGGCACGTGCGCTCGCCAGACAGACAGAGACAGAGAGAGACAGAAAGTGAGAAATCACCCCCCCAGGGGGGATGGTCACGCCGCAATCCCTTCTCCTCCATTTTCCTCTCAGGATCTTGGGCACGCACGCACACGCGCCCAGCATGAGTTTTAAGCCACCGGGTCCGGGACACGAACTGCGGTCGACTACATGGGAGTCCAGTGACATAGCCATTACGCTAACTGCTGGTCCCATGGAAGAAATAACTTTTTAAAAAGTTGTCAGTTTTTTAAGGTCACATGGGATGGAAGCTGGAGTTCCAACTGGACCCAGAGTTGGGTGAGCTACAGAGCCCAGGTACCTCTTCACTGGCCCCTCCATCTGTCCACTGCAGGGCCTAAAGGGAGTCCTAGCCTGCTCTGCCCGGTGAGCTTCAGGCCACCTCTCCCTGAGCTGTCCTCTCTCTTGGCTGTTTCCCCTCTGGTCAACTCCAGCTCCGGGTCTCTGTTGCACCAGGCGCAATTCCAGCAAGGCCTTATGGCCCAGTCTCTCCTGTACCTCCCTACTTGAGTGTTCCTGTCTTCCTGTCTGCCCCCACCTCTCTTCCCATTGCTTTATCTCTGATAGTTCTCATTGTTCTCAGTCTCCCTCTCTCTCCATCTCTATCTGCCTTCCTCCGTGTTTCAAGAAGACTGCGCATTTTAAAACCCTCTCTTGAATCATCCTCTCTTCCATCTCCTCTCTTGCCCCTATGGTTGCAGTGAACACAGAAGAGAAAGGTAAGAAGGGCCAGTGATGGGGAAGAGAGTAGACAGAGATAGAGAGACAGAAAGCGAAAAATCATCCCCTGGGGGGATGGCCATGCTGCAATCCCTTCTCCTCCATTTTCCTCTCAAGATCTTGGGCACACATGCACATGCGCCCGGCGTGAGTTCTAAGCCACTGGGTCCGGGACTCGAACCATGGTCGACTACGTGGGAGTTAGCGACATAGCCATTACGCTAACTGCTGGCCCCAGAGCTTGGCATGTTTTTGAAGCTACTGGGTCCCACACTCAAACCAAGAAGTCGACCATGTGGGATCCAGCTGCCTTCACCACCATGCCACCAGCTGGCCCTATTTTCCGTTCTGATATGGACATTTTCCAATATTGACCAGCTTCTTGATCATTACCAACTTGCCATTCTGGAGGGTGGGAGGAGTGAAGGGGCACTGGTTTTCTGTCCATGTCACACAAAGGAGACTGGAACTTAAGGAGTCACTGAGACCAGGTGGTGGCACAGTGGTAATGCAACCAGTCCCACCAGAAAAATTATGAGTTCGTGTACTGGT